TTTCCTTTTCGCAGCGTTGGATTGCAGCACGAAGTCCCGGGCGCGCGAGATCCCGATCACCTTCTCTGATGGCAGACCCGGCCCTCCACCACTCCGATCCACGCATTATCCTGAAGGCCTCCCGAACCTCTCCGGGCGGCGCAAGGAGCGGGTCGAGACGGACAATGCCGCTTGCCATTGGGTCTGGACGAAATCCAAGCCTTGGCCCAGCGCGGAGGGGGCTCGATCCGCGAGAACCCAGGCAATTCGCTCCGTTGGGAGTTACCCAAGGAGTGCGAGATGATGCAGACCGGGATATGGCAAGACACTACCTATGCCGCCTGTTGCTTCGCAGGTGCCAGAGCCAAGCACCAGCGGCTCCGCCACAACATCGAGGAGATCGGTCGGTGGCCGACCCTGCGTTGCAACCACGTCCATGCACCCGAGGAGTGGGCCCCCTTCGAGGTGGATGGCGCGCGTGTTTTCCCTAGCAAAGAGGAGGCCGAGTACACAGCGCCGCTGGCCTTCTCGATTGCGGTCTCGGTCTCGTATTGGGCAGTTCGGACAGGTCGTGCCAGATTGAAGTTAGGGCGGCTCCCGCCCGTGGAGACGACAGGCCATCGTGCACATTGGCTCTACCTTGATCACCGGTCCCTTCGCGAGTGGGCAATGACACCCATGGCTATCAGCCTAGGCCTCCTGCCGCCAGACACCAAGGAGCGGTCCCGAGTATGCCAGGTTGCTTCAGTGGATGCGGTTATCCATGAGGGCAGTCTCCCGGCCAATCACATCTATGTCGACCAAGGCCACCATCGGCACCGGCTTCCCACGACGAAATGGGCGCCTCCGTGCACACCGGGCGTGAACTGTTCTACGGATGACTGGTTAGCTTTCTATGTCACCCACATTCGAGAGACTGATCTGGGAGGATCTTTCCGAGCTCCAGGGCCAGGTGCTGGTGAGTGACACCGGCGGAGGACCCTTGTGCCCGGCGACAGCTCGTTTTCAACTACCTGTCACCTAGTGCACCGGCGCACCACCACAAAGCAGGCAGCCAGGCCAAGCCGGCCCGTAACCGGTCTTCGCCACTCCTGAGAGTGGTCTCTCTTTCGGGGGTCAATGCTATGGCACCGACACAGCTGTTCCCACAGGAGAGTGTGATCCTGGCGTTCAAGCGCCTCTTCCCGTATGAGTGGTTCGCAGGTTTTCGCTTCCCATGGGTTGAGGACCTTGTCAACGACTTCCCGTTCATCAGCTATCCCACCTGGAGAGCCCAGCGGGGGCTGGAATGGGATGGACCCCTGGGACCGCTGGGAGTGACCCAGCATTCCAGGCTCCTACAGCGCCACGCCGAAGGTCAGCAAGCCGGTGCATTGAGCCACAAAGCAGCGCTACCACCGCTCCTGAGCTTTGGCTTGTCCATTGATGATCACTTCACCCAGTCGCTAACGCTTGGGCACCATCCGTTACCTACTGAGAGGCCTCCCTTGCTTGATGACGACCTATGGTTTTGCGCCGAACAACATTGGCGACCTCCAGCCGAGCTCTATGCGAGCTATCGGTGCCATCAAGGAGTTGAAGCAACGGTGGACCCCAGTGACCGCTCAACTGAGGCGCCTTCAAACTCCAGCCATTCGCCGAGTGACGGCGAGTAGGGACCTGGGGCTGACAGCGCTGCTGATCATGCTGATGTCTTGGGCTGATACCACCTACCCTTATGGGTTGATCAAGGGCATGCCAGCGGTGGGGACGGCACCACCCTATGGTACCTGGTATCTTTCCAATCCAGGAAGGTCGAGAGATTACCCTGGCGGAAGTTCTAGAAGGCTGGCAAGACCACAATTCATGCATCATCCGACAGTTGAAGCCCGGTCCACACGACAGGGTATTGCTTGAACAGAGCGAAGCTGATGCCTCCCATGGTTTCTGCACGGAGCCGTTGACGCACGCGCAGTTACTTCGTCACATCAAAGGTGCTCCTCATCGGCTGATCCCGAGATGCATCATCGTCCAGTCGAGTGGCAAGAAGCGAATCATCGATAACGGGGACACCGGTGGACAGTCCGAACGCTCCTCTGATTACAACAAGCTGACCTTATGTTCCCCGTTCAGGCCGGCTCAGCATATTGCCGCAGTCGCCGCGTGTGCTTCCCCTGACCAATGGCGCGCTCGTTTGGAGTGGGACTCCTTCGAGAGCGGGGGTGAAGACTGGCCCAATGCCTATAGGGGTACACCTATCTCGCATTGGCTGTGTGGTGGCCTTCTGGCATGAGCAGTGGCAGAAGCCAGCCTTCCAGCTTTACCATTCGTTGTTGTTTGGTTTGCCGCTGGCGGTCACCAGTTTCAACCGTTACAGTCGCCTGGCTGAAGCTCTAGGCCGAAGGCTGTGCCTTTGCCTGACGTCCCTATACTTTGATGACGCGAACATAATCGACTGGAAATCTTCGAAGGGTTCTGGCCAGGCAGTGTTCAATCAGCTGAATGTCCTCATCCGCACCCCCTTTGCCGAGGAGAAGCGCCAGGCGATGACCAATAACGGAATCTTTCTCGGCTTGCATCACGATTTGAGTACAGTTTGTGCTGGCTTTGTCCGTTTTTGGCCCAGAGACAGATTGATTGCCAAAATGGAGGCCTTCTTGCGCGATGCAATTGGCAGTTCCACGCTGGCCTCTGGCACGGCGTCGAAAATTTACGGCATGATGGCCTTTTTGGAACAGGGCCTCTACGGGCGAGTAGGGTGTAGCGGCCAACAAGCCATCAAGGCTAGGCAGTATGAGACTGACCGCTGCCTCACGCCAGCGTTGAGGGAGAGCTTGCAGTTGATCCAGGCCGTTCTCCAGTTGCGGCCGGCCAGGGTGTTGGAAGTGACCCACCCCGAGGTGCCTAGGTTTGTTGTGGCTTCAGATGCAGCCCTTGAAGCACCATTTGCAGGGACAGGCGGCTTCCTCATCATATGGTTTGATGGCGCCGCAGAGTGTCGAGAAGCTTTCGTTTTCCATATGCCGAGATCGTTATATGACCTATTCACTCCAGGTGAGAAGAAAATCGCGCAACTCGAGCTCATTCAGCTCATTTTTGCACTGACGACGAGGCCGGACCGTTTCCGAGGCAGACGAGGGGTCTGGTTCTTGGATAACAGTGCCGCACTGATGGCACTGATCCGGGGACGCTCGGATGCGGCGGACTTAGAGCGCGTGTCTCAAATTGTGCATGTTTTGCTCTTCGGCCTCCAGTGCTGGATGTTTTTCGAGTGGATTCCCTCGAAAAGCAATTGGGCTGACGCCATCAGCCGCTTGGGATTCCAAGACCCCTGGCACGTGAAGCATGGGTTTTCCCAGTCAGAGGCATTTTTCCCATTCATCCTGTGGCAACTGCCCGTTGCCGGCCTCACTCGCGTGGCCGAATACTTGTAAGTGCGTTGGGGATTTTAAAGTGCTTTGGGTGATATCTGGGGTGACCAGATGAAGCCCAGCCAGGTGTGACCTGGCAAGGAGCCAACCGG